AAGACAGTACAGACATCTTGTTTTCTCTGCACAAGCTGAGAGCAGTACAGAGGGAATTTTATTGTCTTAAGTGTCAAAGGAAGCAGGAAGAAGTATCAACATGAGGGCTATGGAAGTGCAGTAAGAACTAAATCTAAATACAAGTTCTGTGTTGGCTACGTAAGAACACAGAACCACACTGATTAATTACAAAAAGACACACATGATATTGTTCTTAAAGAAAGAAACCTTCCATTTCTTAGTTCTGAGCTGTACCAGTGATAAAGATGTAAATGGTTTTGGAGCACCCTATCAGTGCTAGAGTAGAATACTGATGTGCATGGAAGGGGACCACTCTGGTCCCACTAGCACCATCTCAACCCTGACCTGGAGGGAAACTCTGCTCTGCAGAGATTACGGGGGATTCAGTAGCCTTCTGGGCCTAAAATGAGTTGCTTTTGAGCAGACAGGGCCAGGGCACCACTGAAGGAGAGTGGTTGTGATACAAGTAAACACCTGCTCAGAAAACAGACAAAAATATTAAATTCCCTAAGGAGTTCAGCTTGGCTGTAGAGGGCCCATCTCTACCTTGCTGTGGCAGAGCAAACACCAAGCCAGAATAGCACTTGCTTTCTTAGGTTAAGTTATAAATCGATAAAGCAGGTCTTAGTGTTGATGGACAACAGTGCAAGACCACTGGACTGTGTGGTGTTATTTGAGCCAGACTTGCACACACAGTACGCATGGGACACAGGGCACCTCCTGCTTATATCCAGTGCCTGATGATCAGGACCACTTGAAATACTTCACTTAGAAGGAGCAAATGGCTAAAGCAACCACCTGAAGTGATTAGTTTGTTACGGTTTCTTAAACTCTACAATTTTAAGGACAGTTGTGTTTCAGTCTATACAACACCACATGTGAGCCTACCTTAAGGGACAGGCACCTGATTAAGGCTTTCACTTGAAATACTTTAAAAAACATAATAAATTCTTCATGTTAAGCAGATATGACAACAGCAATACAGCTACTGTGTGAACAGAAACTATGTTTCAACCACAGTTCTGGAGTCATTTATTCTGGTAGATCCGAGTATACTATGTACTGACCCACACAGTGGCACACAGGTAAAATAGTCAACTGAAAAAAAGCACTCCACTCCCAGCTAAAACACTTGCTAACATACCTTAAGTTCCTAAAGACTCATTTAGCTTATCATATCAGAGTTCAAAACAAAAGGCTAGTGTGTCACGGACAGAGGGACACCCAACCCCACTCTTTAGTTTATATCGGTGACACTGGCAGAAATTTTTGCTCACTAATCCATTCATCCATTAAAAAAACTGCAGTTGGCCAGGTATCAAGGGACTTGTCTACATGAAAGTGTAAAGAGGAACCCTTATTTCAAGGATTGTATTACATTTAAAATAGTTTTGCTACTAGTAGATCAGCATTTGTTCAAGTCTTCCAAAGCTCACCTAGGCTTCACCTACAACATAGGCAGTGTCGATCCATTCCTAATGTATGGACACAGTTCCCTTCCACAGAGTTCAGAAGGAGTTGTACTGCAGAACAGACATCAGGTGAGACCTACTGAACAGTGAAATTTACACCCCAGAGCTACATAAGTGATCATATTAATATTTAACATTAAATAATTATAGGACTCCTCAAGATCCATGTTTTTTGTTCTGCAGGCACTAAGGAGTATGAGTTACAGTCTAGTTCCTTATCTTCATTCTTTCTCTGTAGCTTTAAAGACTGCAGAAGTGAAAAAGACTCATCTCCAGCCTTTTTTCCCTTATGGTTAAAGGCAGACAGACCAGAAGCCAGAGCAGGTGGATGGAGGAGGAAAAAAATGGAAATGCAAAAGTTCGTCTTTCATTGTACCCTTAAGTTTCTTACAGCATAAAACTGGATTGCACTAATCCTGTCTGTCACAGGGGGATGCTGTCTTGTTTGTTAGCAAGGAAGCTAAGCTTTGTGTTGAAGTGATTCATCTTGTTAAAAAGATGGGGAGAGCAAGGAGGGGAGAATTGTTTGGTCATTTTCCAGTTTCTTGCACCATCTGCTAAACTGGAGATACAGAAACAGTAAGGGGCGGGAATTCTACCTCACAGAGAAACAGCAGAAGGCTTGAAATAGTAACCTTAGTAAAGGGCTCATGTCTGCTCCTCTGTCCATCTTGAGAAGTTGTCAACGTTAGACACAGAAGAATAATTAACTGCCTCCTAACATACATAATTGTGCAACTAAATCTTGAAAGAGGATATTCTTGTCTGGCTATAGCTGAGGATTAAGAGACCTTGAACTCTACCTGTCATTCATTCCTTAAACATCCACTTCCTTTGGTTTTCTAAGCTATTGGCCTCAGTTACATCCTGCAGGAAAGCACTTAATTACCAGGTCAAACAAAGCATTTTGTTTTAAGCATTCTGCCCTGGTGATCTAACACAGCTGAGCATCCCTTTTGCCCTGCTCTCAAGAAAGCATCCTTAGCTTGCAGCTGACCCCTCACTTGCCCCATCTGTTTTGAAGTCTTCCTCCCCCCAACACACTTCCCCTCCTTTCGATCTAAAAAGGCGCAAGTCTGTCCAGCTATTGAATGTGCTCTGTATGAAGTTACTAATTGTTCTCAAGAGCTTTCCAGTTACTCTGAATTAACTAACTAACCAACCAATGCCACGGTGAGGATGCATCCTAGTTTTGTCTAAGTGGCTTTTATAATTTTTTTCTGGATTCCATCCACTTTAATAAAACTTGACATTCAGGCTCCCTTGCTGACTGCTGCTTGTATTTATCATATGATTCACAGCGGCACCTGAACTTTCAGTCCACTGCATAGCAAACATTATGCAAAGGCAGTTTTTGCCTTCCAAGTGACCCATGTTATTTACAGGTCATGATGGTACCTTTACAGCTAACATCATTGTTAGCATCCAGACACTAAATACGTTAATTTACAGCCACACAAAATCGACCAGAGGACATTTTCAAATGGGTGCTTGGCTTGCTACTGCTGTCTAATTTCAAATAGTTGCATGTAGCTGGAGTGCAAGTGAGGGTACAGGTGTTGCACTGCACTGTGGAAACTGGAATCCTCTTCTGTATTAACCATATCTTGGATCAGCTGCAAGTTCTGCCACCTCCTTATGGATTGTCCTCCTGGTCGTACAGTGTAGCAGAAAAGTACTGACTACAAAGACAGCTTGGAAGGATAGACTGCAGTGGTATGGATATAGCACCTTGCAAGTTACATCACAGTTAAGGATGTACAATTAAGAACCTGTAAGGCCTGAGTTAAATCGCTTGTGGGTGGTGCTTCAAGGATTAACACTGCTTTAACTTGACAGAAGAGCTGATTTGTTTGGGGATAAGAACCCATTCTCTGCCACCGAAATAGCACTGCTTATATGAAGGTGTGGCGCAGCAATACTGCAACAAAAAACCTGGTAGAGCTAAGCTCCACATGTTTCTAACTAGTTCACAGGAAAGAATAAGCCTAGTTCTAACAAAATTAAATATGTAATATTTCAGAAAGTCTATCTCCTTGTCAGTGCTGCGATGAAACGAAGACTCAGTTTCTCTCAAGGATACTCCCACTCCTAAGCTCAGTTTTTCCATTCCCTAGATCCACGCATCCAGATCACTTCAAGGCCATGCTGTTCTGACTTCTGGCAACCCCACTGTTTCCAGGCCCTAGGCATCAAAGAGATGTCTGACTACACCCCAGAGTTCTGACAAGCATTACACTGCTTCATCAGTAGTACAACACTCCCCTGAAAATAAGTGTAGGAAAAGTCAAGACTGAGTGGGCAGAAGGGCCCAGCCCAGCCCCTTTGAGGAAGGCTAGCAGAAGTGATGCTGTTAAATACTGCAGCTACCCGAAGAGCCAGAACACAAGGATGGTTCTGGGACTGGGGTGGGGAACTACCTCCAAGAGGCTCCAGGCTGAGCTGTCAGGAAGGCAGCTACAATCTCCTCAAGCAGGGCTTCCCACCAACAGGTGTCTGTTAACTCTAGCACTAACACTACAGTGAGGAAGGAGCAAGACCCTTGTGGAAAGGAACAATGCTTGTAAAACCTGTTCACATCATTAAATCCTTCTTTAACTATTTATTCTTAAAACCCATACCTCAGTGACTGCAGTTTTCACAGTAGCAGTCACTAGAAGTTAATAGAAGGCTAATGAAGAGGTGACTCAAAGTTCAGGCTTCCCACCAGCCCCTGCCTCCACTGCTGGGATGACAGAGGTCTCTGTGCCCCTTTTCATATGGCAATGGCATAGGTATATCCTGACCCACTCAACCACAAAAGGACTTACAGCAACAGCTCACCAGCATCGCAGTGGGTAAAGAGGATCATCATCCCACCATCTACCCCCTCAGAGACAATGAAATGTTTTGAAATAGGCAGGACTGAACACACAAGATGTGGTTTCTCCAGATGAGAGGCCCTTGTATGATCAATAAATCAGGCTGAGCAAATTCAGCCCGGTCTCTTGCAAGAGCAATGCTAAACAAAGTGTTCATAATGACTAAACCAGGAGTTTTTGCACAAGATGCGGGGGCCATCCCATTCCGGCATCACTTCTCCCTCAGCCCTGCAGGCCTTGCATGGGTTGAAGACTTCAGTGCAGAGAGGGAAGAAGTACTGTCGGCAAGATACTTCATCTACTTGCTGTCAACACAAAAAAATTGATAGCAAGTCTGCTGACCACACTCACTTCATATTCTTCCTGCAGCAAACTCCCACCGATGTACAGATCTTTTTATTTTTTTTAAAAAATACTTGTTTCAGTGAATTAAGATGGACACCTCTCCCAGAAACAGGCAGGTGAATCCTCTGGGACCTGTGGGATCCGGCTCTGGGACTGGTCCACTAGAAAGTACCTGGGAAGATCAGCACTGTTGCGTGCTTGATCCCCTGTCCCCTTTGTTGGAATCACTGCAGGTGGATCCAGGTCCCAGTTGTGTACAGCAAGAAGTCCGAGGAGCCAGGCACACAAGGCACAGCTCTCTTCACACCCGGATCTGGTACCCATTGAGGTCTGGCATGGCTTTGGAATCAGCAGGCTTCTTCTCACCAGATGGTCTGTGAGCAAAGAAGGTTAAGAACTATTCAGAAGCTGTTTTTCGGTCAGGAGGTGCTGCACATAGAGATGGCAGCACAGGGAAAAGTACAGGAAAGCTTCAGACTTATCCTATGCTATTGAGGGCAGGATTATTCTGCAACCTCCAGTAATTCTTACAACAATCTCCACAGAAGAGAATGCAGGTTAGGAAGAGTACAAGTCCACTCTGGTATCCTCGATCAGTTTCAGGAAAACAATCTCACTGACAGCAGTGTAATTTTTGGAATCTCTTTGGGGCACAGGTCTGTAAGACACCAGGGCTCAGACCCTTGCATAAGGTTAAATATCAGCTGCCAAGATCACTGTCTGTTTGAGCTGCCTTCCTCCTCCCTGCCAAAACAAAACCAAAACAGCTGTCCCCCTACTCCTCAAGGAATGATAAACTCACAAAGGCACAGACTAGGGAAGAATGCTACTGCAGGTCAGAGAAATATCCTCTATTATAAAGAACCCCAGTAAGACCCGAGAAGGATCCAAAACCAGACAGCAAGGTGAAGCCTGCAAGTAAAGCAGAGATGGTCTAGATAGGTCTCCTGCCCAGCAGCTCCACTCACCGTCGGTCCCCACGGCTGTTGCGCCGCTGCGGGCTGGCCTGACCTCTTTGCGGGGAGGAGACATCTTTCTTTCTGTCCTTGGTGGGAGACGGTGGCCCAGTTCCTTTGCCAATCTGCCAGAAAAATTAAAGTAAGAGCAGCGTGAGCAGAAAACCAATACGAGCAGTAACCAGAAAATGCAAAGCCTCACAATGATTAATTATGTGGGAATAAAAGACAAGGCAAGGCAAGTGCATCAAAAATGCAAAAGCCAGAAAAAAACAAGCTACAGTGACAGCTGTGGCTCCAAGGACTGTGTACAGTCCAAGCTAATCGCAACTGCAGTACTGCATGAGCATCCATTAGGGGACCAGCCTGTATACAAAGGAAAAGAGCCCTCAGCCTCCAATTCACCCTCTACTCCACCACCATCTAGGAGAGCCTCCTGCCACTTCATTGCCCCAGCACACACATCAGCCAGGCAAGACGGTGGATGCAGCTGTGAACTACTTCTCCATCCTTGCTGCTTACCTTCAGCCTCATATCACGGGCATGCCTCTCAAGCTCTTTGCGGAAGTCTTCCCGGGTTAGCTTCTCTAGATCCAGGATGGAGTGCTTCCACTCAATCTGCTCCACGCTGTGTGGGTCATGGGACACACAGTGGCCCAGCTTCACCTTTTTGAGAGTGTGCCAGCAGCGGCGATATGCCTCCTCAAAGTCAAAGATGAGTTCGCTCAGTGTGCGGAAGACAGGTGCTTTGTACATGAGCTCCTCACGTCGACTGATGCCCAGTGCCCCATAGCGTCCTCCAAAGTTCACCCCCAGCACAATGTGTCGGAAGTAGTTCCCTGAGAAGTGGGTTTTGAAGCTGATGGGGAAACGGTCCAGCGTGGTCATGTTGTTGGTGAGGTAACTGACAGCAGCCGCTATTCAGGAAACAACCAGTGATACCATTTTCTTGACAAGATACTTCCTTCCTGCTCCAAACCCTCCCAGCCTGCTCAGCAGACTCACCACTGATTCAGGCATCGCATAGGCAGGATTTGTTCTCCAGATAAGAGTGCAGCTTACTGCAAGATGCATATTTTCATCTGCGTCATGGGGAAACCAGACTTGGCCTCTTCAACAAGACAGTTAACAAAAGGAAGTTAATTTTGAGGCAGTTTTGTGATGTGGAAGTTTCAATGCTAACACCTCAAATGTTCTGTATTCCATACCTCCCAAACTGTTAACGCTGTAGCATTATTCCTCAAGTTTGTTTGACTCTGGTTTTACTCTGTTTTACTAGCAACTATTTCACACACAAAACAAGGAGCCTTCAGGACAAAATACTCTGTCAGACTACCCCGCTGAACCACTCACTTGCCATCTCTGCCCCTTCAGGCAGCTTTGGCCATGCACTCCAAGAATCTATAGCCCGAGTGACATAGGCTAAGCTTGGAAGGTAGCTAGGAAAGATGTGTACTTAAAGATGACACGTATCTAGAATTAATAAAGGTATTGCCTAAGCTGACAGGCAGTGTTAGATATAATAGTAAAGTGACATACATCATAAGTAGAAGCTGGGGAGGATCCCTAACTTATTTTGATGTAGAACACATGCAGGCAATATTGCAATAAGGGAACAAGATTATCCACAAAGGACTTCTGACCTAAGCCTAGCTAATATTTTTGCCCCTCTTTAGATATTCCTTAGATACTTCCTTTATCTTTTACTTGCTTATAGAGTTGTCCAGAGCAGCATCACCCTTCTTGGGGAAGGAGGAACAACTCCAGAGAACTAAGTCTTGTATTTCAGAGAATTGCTTGGATTTGGATTTTATTGGTGAGTTTTTTTGGGAGAACTGGGGAGGGAAAACAGAGGCATGTGGGGCTCGGTGGCAATATTATCAGCAGCCTCACAGCGTCATAAGAGAGCAGAGGAGAAAACACAAGGACGGGCAGACATGCATAATTTCAAGAGGAAAGGATACATTCCCAGGATCACAGCTTCCAGGCATTTTATTGGCAGGGCCTCTTTGGTCATTTCTTTGGCCAGGTCCATCAGCCTGCAGAGTGGGACAAGGGAAAGACGAGGACAGTTAGAGGGCTTGTGCTATGCAAGTGCAGCCAGTTCAGCCCTTTTTTTACTATATATGTAAGGTAGGTTTCCAGGAGAGAAGGTGGCCCACTGAGGACAGGGAACAGAAGAAAATATCTTCTTTAGGAAGATATTAAATCCAAACCAGGTCTATACCACATGCTGTCGCATGTTACAGGAACTCTCTTCGGTGAGTTAGAGCAAAGCTGCCTACTAGGCCAACCTCTGTTCTCAGCGAGACCATAGCACTTGGCTCAGTGAGTTCTGGATGGACACCAATGTGACCACAAGCAGAAGCTCCAAAGGATCAAGAGCCAGCAATGTTTGCCTCACAAGTTTCAAGGGCAGTGAAGCCCTCTTCTCTGGCATCAACCCTACTATCCATTCAACAAATACTGTGGAGGAGACATGGCTCTGGTTACAACACGAGACATTTGGAGTCAGGTAAGTCTGTGGACTAGACCAATAGTAAGAAGCCAGTCTTGGGACACTCTCAATATGCTGGCCTAGAGAGTCGATGAACATCAGGTGCTTATCTCCAGGAACTTACGGGGCAGAGGTCTTCCCAAAATCTGCAGACAGGAGAATCCCCCTTCTCTTTCAAAGTATGAGACACCAAAAGCTTAGTGAGCCTAGATTCTGCAAAGGCACTCACAGGAGCTATGAAGTTAGACCTGTAAAGATACTTGGCTTTTACGAAGCTTGTTTAGGGCAGGACCTAAGTTCAGAATCCATCAGAAGTTCATACAGTTACCTTCCAATTAGAAGCAGGCAGAATCTGCACATCTTTGAAATACATTTATATTATTTTACTGGATTTACTGATTCATGACAACAAAACCTCCTCTTGTCCTTGAGAAAGGCCAGACACAGCTCTGCCCAGCTGCGCCTCAGGCAACAGACAATAAAGTCACCTAAAGTAGGATGGAGCTGCAGTAGTGAAAGCCCTGAGTGCCACCTAGACCTTGGCCAGGGGATGGAAGAAAAAGCAGTGTCTATAGCAAAGCTCCAACATCTTAAAGCAAGGATTAAATGCTGTAGGGGCTGCCAGCACTTACCCAGTCAGAGGTCTGCTCTTCTTAATCTCAAAGAATTGTGTCCCAGTGTGATTGTACCTGGAGGCAAGAAGTTAAGGGCTTGGCAGCTTGGAAAGTAGAGTTTGAAGAAAACCTGTCTGAATAACTTTATGTTACTTACTGTTCTCACATCAAAGTCATGATCTCACAAATGTAACAGCAACACAAGAAAGTCTCCTCCTCCCTCTCCTGCATTTCTCTCGCTTATAGTCCCTCCTTACTTCCACTGTATTTCCTTGTCAATTCTTCTCTTGCTCCTCCACACACACAGATTTCCCACTCCATTTCCCAAAGGTCCATGCTGACAGCACATGCTCTGCTCAGCTTTCCAATTACCAGGTCAGAACAAAGTTTGATAGATCTCTGCCTGCTCTGGTCTGCACAGAACACACGGAGCATAGAAACCTTCATGGTACCTTATTCTAAGACTGACTGGGACCCGATTCAGAGCACAGCCACCTTAGATGGGCAAGAGGTGCCGAAAGGTCTGCCTTCTTACCTTGTTTTAGGGCTGAAGCCAGAGCTAGCTCTGTATCTTATCAGTGAGATTAGACTGTGCTTGCATGGCACACTCCTGCTGTCCAGCACAACAGGGATGGAGAAATCTCATTCCCAGGACACAGGCACACCAGCAGCTCTGCGTATAAAGGGGCACGATACCACAGATGCACAAAAGCAGGGTGGCTGACTGTCCTTTAGACAGCTACAGAGAAAAGTGTTCAAACAGGATGACCTGAGAGGCAGTTTTCTCACCGCCACAGCTCATCCATGCCTTAACTGTGAGGTGACACAGCGTGTAGTCCATCTGAGACCTGGCTGTCAGAGTCTCAGATATGTGTGTTTTTAACGAAATGGCACTGTAAAGCCACTGACCTAGAAGGGTGGGTAGTGGGGAAAGGCCCTTGACAACATGCCCATTTGTTACATGGAGTGAACAGGATCACAGAAGGTAACTTGGGCAGAAAAGAAAAGAAACAGAGCAGCAAAACAAACCATCATCCCAAGCCCAACTTCCTGTTTTCAGGGAGCAAGTTTCAGTTCCCCTCCAGCTACAACAGAACAAGCTTTTCAGTTCTTCACAGGGAAAGAAAGTCCCCTTGCTTCTTCTCCCTGGGTTATCACACCAGTGACTGAGGTAACAGTAAAGGATACTGAAGCTCCCTGATGTAGCGCTGTACAGCTTCCAGGCGCTCAGGGATGGGGGTGGACGGCTGGAACGCAGGCACACTTGGTATGGGAATCTGAAATGGGGAGTAGAATATAAATCACTGCTTCTAAACCTCTCCAGCTTCTTGCTGGACTCAGAACCACATAGCTACAGGGAGCATGTTCCTCTGAAACCAGCCCCTTTTTGCTGACCAAAGTGACCACACTAGGAACATTCCTCTGTTCCCACACTGATAACTGGGAAGGGATTCAGAATGAAGCACCATGACAGAGCTGCAAGAGAAACTATGAAAGGGTCCTGTGTTTACACAACATTACCTTGGAAGAATTAGATAAAATTAACTCACAAGGCAAGATGCAAGACAGGAAAGCTATCACCTGAGGGAGCTTGGCCTCATTTGAGTATGCAAAATGGAAGGCACAAAACAAAAGCAAGGAGAGAGAGAGGCAAAAATGGAGAATGAGTTTCCCCAAAGCCACCAGAGCATGGACTAGTCCTGTGAGCAAGGGTAAAGGTCCCTCACTGCCTCCTGGCATCTCAGGTGTGTTGACACTAACTAGGGCACAGGCTTGACAGCATCATGACTGCTCCCATGCAGTGTCCGTCTGTTGTTTTGAATTATGTGGTCTGAGAACGACTTCTGAAAGTTCACCATTCATAGAATCATAGAATGGTTAGGGTTGGAAGGGACCTCAAAGATCATCTAGTTCCAACCCCCCTGCCACGGGCAGGGAAACCCTCCACTACACCAGGCTGCCCAAAGCCTCATCCAACCTGGCCTTGAACACTTCCAGGGATAAGGCATCTACAATTTCTCTGGGCAACCTGTTCCAGTGCCTCACCACCCTCAGAGTAAAAAATTTTTTTCTTATATCCAATCTAAATCTACCCTCTCTGTTTAAATCCATTGCCAAGTCCTATCACTACGTGCCCTTGTAAAAAGTCCCTCTCCAGCTTTCTTGTAGGCCCCCTTTAAGTACTGGAAGGCAGCTAGAACGTCACCCTGGAGCCTTCTCTTCTCCAGGCTGAAAGTCCTGCAGTCAGACTGCAGTCCTGTTCTGAGGCCTCAGTCTTATGGGTCCAGTCAGATTTTCTTCACCATTTGCTCCACAGGGGATAACTGCAGGCTTGTCAGCAGCTGAGTAAATGTGTCTAAGGAAAGAGAAGAGTCCTGTCCACAGGACAACTACAATGGAGAAGACAAAAATTCGGTGTGACTGACAGGCTTGGAGAAGCAGCCCAGCATTTTATCTCTAAAGGATAGCTCATGCCTTGCACGCACCCCCCTGATACCAGACTGCAGCTTTTCACAGCAGTTTGGGTTTTAGCCTTTCAGTTCCTCCTCAGACTTCCCCCAGAGCTGGGCTACCCCCAGCTAAATAAAAGTGAGTCAGAACCAGATCTTGCCCTGCGCCTTCCACTCTGCTGTGCACAACTGCTTCTGCTGGTCATGGTTTTGTAGCCAGCAGCGCTGCTTAGCCACACAGCACCCTCCACGTCTATTTCTGTGCCCACTGATTTCTGTACCTCCTTCTGTCCTGGGTTGGCACAAGTGACTGGTGAACCAAGTCAGGCACCTGAACCACCTGAAAGCCGAGCCAGCAAGCACAGGCAGTGTTCAGTCAGATCAGTTCCCTGTCCTAGTTTGCACTCTGCTTGTGCCCACACAGCACGGGGGCCAGAGACTGCTTAACCTTGAGAGATGAGCTGTTGCTTCCTCTGGAAACGGTAATCTGTAAGTGTTCTTCAGCCTAGCCCCAAACACCATCAGCAAGTAAACACTGAGCTAAACTCAGTCTCTATCCATTTTATCCATTTTCTCTCCTGTGTTTTGATTTTATTTTTTTAAAAAAAAACTAAGTAGCACCATTTGGCTACTGGTACCCGTTTTCCTAGCACCTCTTGGAGGTGCCAGTGGCCATCTCCAGTGCCTCATTTCTGTACCCTGCTTGGAGCAAGCAGAGGCACTGGCTGGTTCACTTGCAGGAGACAGCAGAGGAACGGCAGGAGCAGATGTGAAACTGGGTTTGTTCAGCCGCAGCAGGAGCAGGGAAGGCTCCAGAGTGAGGTGCAGGGATGGAGCCGTCTCTGGAACCGCATGAGCTGAGTCAGTTTGGATGCTGTGCGCTGACACACTGAGTCATAGGAAATCATTCCCAGGCAGAAACAATGAAAGAGGTAACAACCAGGACAGGCTGACTATTTAACTTTGTTTAATTTCTTCAGCATGGAGACATTCATGCTTTTTGAGTGGAGACAATCGGATTAAGTGGATGTTGACAGCACAGACTAATGATTCCGGGTAGTTACTCCTCCCTTTACTAGTACAGACCCCCAGATCCCCTTTTCCTCAAAGGACCGTACAACACTGAGACAGCATAATGGCAGTTCAGCAGCGGACTAGTTAACGCAGAAGAGCTGCCTGCACCTCAAGTAATTAAACTGATGAAAGTACAGCGTGCTCTCTCTCTCTCTCTCTCAGATCTGGGCCTGCAGCCCAGACTGGGCTGCAGTTTCTTTTGCCTCAGGTCTATGGGGCAATAGATGCGGGAGGAGAAGAATAAGATCTCCATCCCTCAACCCCACACTGACAGGATGGGAGACCCTAATGCTTTGTTCTAACCCAGCATTATCCACTGCATATCTCAGAAGGGCTATAAATATTAGGCAGTCCTCACAATCCTAGCAGACTGTTTGAACACGTCTTTGGTCCCTCACCAGTTGTGTGGAGGGGTTGCATCACCCCACTCCTAGATTCACGCACCCCGGCAGGCTGGCTATATGCATGGGATCGGGACTCTGCTTTTAGAAAGGGGATCCAGAGAACAACAGAGATTTTCGTGTACCAAGTGGGCTGTGCTGCACATGAGATGAGGCAGATGGGAGTGAGGCACAGACAAAGCTCCACCCTTATCTGTATCACACAGGTGCTTTTTTGGCCAGCCTAGTTTAACAACTGTTTCTTTTATGGTGCTTATATGTATCCAAGCACCTCCCTAATCTCTCTTTTACAAGCAAAATGGGAGCAGTACCAATCCCAGTTGTTAGCCTGACTAAAGAAACTGGATTTATTCCCTCTCTCTCTCTCTGAACCCATTAGCTGCAACTCTTCCTGTCTTTGCCCTCATAACCACCTCATTTAAAATCCATCATTTCTTAATGAGGCAAGCACACATCACTTTGTATTTCCAGTGTGCACCCATCTGATGGTCCCAGCAGCTCCAAGCAAAGCAATACCTCACCCTGTTGCTAGAAAGGAAATGACCTACAGGAGGGTGGCACTCTCCAGCCCAGCATGCATGGCCAGTCAACTATGTCCTGCCACCGCAGCACAGCTCACTTGATGGACAGCACAAATCTACCGGAATGAAACGGAGACCAGAGGAGATTTCTGAGCTCTCACACCCCAGTGAAAGACACAGCCCCTGCAGCTGATCTGTGAAGGTATTTAGAAAGTCCGATCACAGCCTCCTGCAGTCATTTTACAGTATTAAGTTTAGTTTCTGTACAACTCTTTCGAGAGTTACTTCCCCCAACACCCAATACTGGCTACAGTTCAAGGCCAAAAATTTGGGAGTAGGCAAACCACTGCCTAATTCCCAACACCTAACAAGGCCTACTCCCCCCCCAGCACATGGAGAGTACCTGGCTTTTCAAAGGAGCTAGCCCCTACAGAGTACACTCATTGCCCTAATTCTCAGCTGTTGCATCAGCCCTTTAAAGAAACTTGATGGCACAGAGATGGGTGGTGACAGAAGCAGCCCTCAAAGATAAACACACATCCCTCGAGGGGAAAAGGAGCTAGGGAAACAGAGCCCATCCATCTTTGCTGCTTCCTGCATCCCAGCATCCTTTCAGCTGTATGCCTGGTGGGTTTGGGAATGGGATGTCAGATTGCAGAGCGCTGAATAGAGTTTATAGATCTGGTTTGCAGGGGTACTAGCAGACAACAACAACAAATAAAAGGATAGCCCAATTTCACCTGTTATTGCAAAAGCTCATACCATTTGTGTCCCCTAGCTGTAACCCTTTGGCACCAAGACTATAAAGTGAGAACAGTGGAAGTACTTCACATTAAGACCAAAACCAGAGATGGAACACTGTATTTCCCTCCCCTCATGCACTGGACTCTTGTTTGTGAACTTCTTTCTTCCGTTTCCCTCACCTCTCCTGGCCAAATCAACCCTTTTGGTCAGGAAATTAAGTAGTGCACGTTCTGATTGATCTGAAACATGTTTTCAGCCTTCTCCCAGACTCAGGACAAAGTCAGAGGAGAGGAAGGAAATCTGAAAATGAAGGAAAAGTCTAGTGGGGTTAGAATAGAGACTGTAATCAAGATTCAAGATTTGTTCTGGTTACTGCCACAGATGCCTATAAGTCTTCACTGCACAAAGGATGTTACATCACATGCTTCTCTAGAGTTCCTCGTTGAAAGCAGTACAGATTGTCCGTGCCCTATGTAATAGCATGTTCTCACATACTTCAGATTACCTTCCCAAGGAGGTAAGCCCTTGCTAAAAAAACCTGAGCAGAAAAAGCTTCATCTTTTTCTGTCTGAATTTCCTCTGTTAGCATGATGGGAATACTCTCATAACCCACCAATGGAGCGACACACCAAATGTTTGCAGTGTCTTTTGTTCCCAGGATGCCAATGAAAGGGGGAGATTTTTCTCCCGGCTGAGGTGGAACACAGATAGCAACAATCACAAGAATTCACAGGCAAATGATTCAGTATGGCATAAGGTTAAGTGAAACGATCACCGGTTCCTCTTTTCGTAGAGTTCTCTGCAGCAAGGCCAGGAATGCGCTTGGAAATCACAACATCTGACCCCTACCCCAGCAACAAGCTCTGCAAGCATTCGCTAACTCCTCTTAAAACTCTTTGGCATCAAGAGTCTCTTATCCGACAGACACTGTTCTGTGCAAGAACACCTTTTGGTGTGGGAGACTGTACCCAAATCTAATTTCTTCTGGTTCAAAGACTGAGACTGCCTGTCTCACCCTCCCACCTCAAACATTCGGACTCTTCTAAATCTTAACTCTCCTCATCCTTTCATCGTTTATCCAGTCTTCCTCTTTAGGGCAATCCATCTCCCTCCCAGGCGGCTCGCACATTATCCATCTGTAGCGTTTTCCATCGAGGAGGCCTCAGAATGAGAGGGGGCAGAGCCCCGCAGCGACCCTCCCGCAGCGACCCTCCCGCAGCCCAAGTTACAGCGTGGCTTTGCACCCCCGGAGCGCCCTCTTCCCGAGGGATGGCTGCCGAGCCCGGCCTCCGAGGGGGGCAGGAGGCCACCGTTTCCCCTCTTCCCTTCGTGCGCCCCGCAGGGGAGGGCCCGGCCCGGGCGCTACCCCCGGGGTGGGGGGGTCCTCACCTTGGGCAGGTCGGCGGCGCCCCGGATCCTCTGCGCCACCCGCTCCCCCTCGGGGTGGATCCTGCCCA